ACTGAGTGAAACAGTTTATAAAATAAAAGGCATGGCCAGGGATTTAGCTCAGTGGGGCTGGGCCTGCCTCACAAGCACAAGGTCCTGAGTTTGAGGGCTGGTACCAAAAAAAAAACAAAAATAAAAAATAAAAGGCCTACTTCCTAACCCCAAGCAGATTATAAATGATTTACTGTTTTCTTTTTTTTTGTGGGACAGGGTCTCACTATGTAGTTCAGGCTGGCCTTGAACTCACGATGATCCTCCTGCCTCAGACTTTCAAGTGCTGGAGTGATTCATTGCTATAGATCGGAACCAGTAGCCTAAGTCACTAGTCCCAAATGTAATTGTTTTGAGATATTTCAATATTCTTTTTTTTTTTTTGGTACTAGGGATTGAACTCTGGACCTTGTGTTTTTGAGGCAGGCAGTGGAACCACTGAGCTAAATCCCTGGCCCAGTATTTCAATAGTCTTTAAGAGGCCATAGCTGGGCATGGTGGCACATTCCCAGCTATTTGGAAAGTTGAGGCAGAAGGATAACAAGTTTAAGGTTAGCTTCGGCAACTTAGTGAGGCCCTGTCTTAAAATGAAAAAATAAAAGGGCTGAGATATATAGTTGGGTGGTAGAGCTAGGTGGCATGGTTTCCTAGGATGCAAAAAAACCCTGGTTTCAATCCTCAATACCAGAAAAAAATTTAAAAATAAAAGGCCCAAGAGTCAGGGCTTTACAAACACATCTTGTTAGCTGTAATTCCACTGACTTGACACTTCTTGGTATTGCTCATGGGTGGCTGCAAGCCCAGGAAGGCCTAAAGCCCTGCAACCTACATACCACCCTGGCTGGGGTTGGCATACCCGCTTACTACTGTGGCTCCCTGGAGAAGAGAAAGGACCTATCTGGGGGAGAGAGGTCAGAGCCCAGAGGAATCCTAAGGAAGCAGTCTTACCGCATCAAACTCCGCTTGATCATCCTCAGGCAGGTCGCTGGTTTCATAAACATCTGGCTCGTTTCTTGCCTGCAGGCAGAAGCAGTGACCACCCAAACTTACTACCTACCATCCACCGACACCCCTTACCCCTCCATTTGAACAGGCTAATGGAGAAGGGAGGCCATGCCGGAATTCTGTCCTGTCTTCTCCACCTGCCCTAGGAACAGCATACTAGTTTCCATGTCTCAGTGGGGGTAGAGATGTCAGCAGGCACAACTGGGACCAGATGGTAAACAGTACGATAACAAAGATGTTACCCTCAACATGGAGGAGGCCAGGTCCTTGGTAATCATTTGGTCCAAAGTAGGTGAAGGCTATCCTCAAATTAGGTCCTGTATACCACTCCCCTGGCACAAGGGTCGAAAGTGACTCAGGACCTTATCTCCCAAAGTCCTGTGCCCCAACCCCCAGCCCCCAACCCCAGAATGCAGGCCAGGCAGCACAAAAGGGTACATGACAGCTTGTGCATTTGGGGAGAAGGGTCGGACACAGGTTCCCCAAAGCACAGAATTCCTTACGGGGCACAAGAAGGTTCTGCCACAGTAATCTCCCTTGGCAGTATGAAGGCCATCACTAAGTGGCCTGGCGAGTATGTCTGGGACAGAGATTCCCGGCCTTATGGGGAGATTTGGGGCGGCACGAGCAGTGTTGACAGGATGGCAGAGAATCTCGGGCACAAGTGTAAGCATCCGAAGATTTCTGGGCCAGGAACCGGCGACAACCGGAAAGGGGGCCTGGAGCTCCGCCCGATGGCCCGGCCCAATTGGGTCAGAGGAGTCCGGAAGGTGTTGTGGCCGGTCTGAAAGCGAGCGGCGCGAGCCCGTGGGGCGGAGGAAGGGCTGCAGGCGGGAAGGGTCGTGGGCTGGTATCTGTTAGGGGGTCTTCGGGAGGTCGGGGGCGCGGTCTTGAGGAGCCGGACTGGCCTTGTACTCACAATGCCGGGAAGATCGGCGTATTTAGGGTCCGCCATGGCGGCGGCGAGGCAGGGCTGAGGGACCAGCCCTCGGTGGAACTGGGGCCGGTGAGCGAGTAAGGGAGAGGCCGGGTCCGGGTCCCTGGCTAAGGCGGCGGCAAAGGGAGCGGCAGAGCAGGAAATCTCGCGATAGCAGTAACTCAGCGGAAGGGTAAAGCATAAGTCGCGAGAACAGCAGCTACCACACCCCTAGAGAGGCTGGGATTGGCGAGAGGGAGGCCTGAGAGTGAGGTAATGGCGAGGGGACGCCGCCTAGGATTCTGGGATGTGTAGTCATGGTCCAGGACCAACAATAACGCACTTTGGAGAGCTATTTCATACAACTTTCTTTCACTTTTACATCAAGTCTCTGAAAGAACTTTTATGCTTTCTTTTTCTAGACTCTCAAAATTAAACGACTAGAAATCACTCAGCTAGTCGTATTGTGATATAGTCAGGGTTTCAAAAACTATAACATTTACGCGGGGTGCTGTGGTGCACGCCTATAATCCCAGGGGAAGGAAGATTGCCATGAGTTCGAGCCAGCCTGGCCTACATAATGAGTTCAAGGCCAGCCTGAATTACAGAGTGAGACACTGTCTCAAAACACACACACACACACACACACACACACACACACACACACACACACACACGGCGGGGGGGGGGGAACAGTAACATTTAGTAAACAGTGTAGGTTAGCGATGGAAAAGTTAAACGGTTTTCTCAAGTTAGGCTGTCAGATAAAATACGAAATACTTTGTTATATCTGAATTTCAGTTAATGAATAGAGCATTGATTCCTATTTTTGTTTTTAGTATGCCTCATACCATATTTGGGACATACACATAAAAGTATTGTTTATCTGAAATTAAAATTTCACTGAGTATCCTGGTTTTTGCTTCTCAAATCTAGCAATCCTGTCTTCAGTTCATAAATGGGTAAATGGTGACTCCAAATCTGAAAACTCTCTGTGTTCTGAATTAATTCACTAATAGACTTTTGAATTTCATAGGTCAATAAAATTAAAACAACAAATCTAGGCTGGGTGTGGTTGTGCATGCCTTAATCCTGGCACTCAGCATGCTGAGGCAGGATGATCCAGAGTTTAAGGGCAGCATGGGCTATTGTAGTGAGTTCAAGGCCAGCCTAGACTACATAGCAAGACCCTTTCACAAAAAACAAAAACTTTTTTTTTTGGTATCGGAGATTGAACTTAGGACCTTGCACTTGGGAGGCAGGCGCCGGAACCACTGAGCTAAATCCCTGGCCCTAACAAAAACTTTTAAAAAGGATAGACATAGTATAGTTACCTTTTTATTTTGTAAGTACATTACCAATAGAATGCCTACTGGATACTATTGACATTATTACTCAGTACAAAACTAAAAGGATACATTCAAGAATAAATAAGGCCAGGGATTTAGCTCAGTAGCACCACGCCTGCCTTGCAAGTGCAAGGTCCTGAGTTTGAGCCCTGGTACCAAATAATAATAATGATAATAAATGACAGTTCTTTGAAACTTAACAAATTAAGAAGCTGGTGTTGTGGTGCACACCTGTATTCTCAGCACTCTGGGAAACTGAGGTAAGAGGATACCAAGTTCAAGCTCAGCCTGGGCAACTGAGTGAGATTCTGTATGGAAATGAAAATAAATTTTTAAAAAGGGCTGGGAATGTAGCTCAATGTGGAGACCTGGATTCAATCTCCAATATGGGGGTCTGTGGGGGGTGGTGTCCTTATGAAAAACTCACCATGTTCCCTTGAGAGTGGGTGCATACCCACTTAACTCGTCTCTGACTAGTGACCCTCTGTGGACTAGCATTTTACAACTTTGTAACTAAGGGTTCCACCTTGGAGCCCCTGGGGCCCAAGGTTGGGATGTTTCCCGAGCTTGCAGGATGCTGCAACCCTTAGAAATAGTGCCAAACCAAGTGACTAGAGAGTTCCTGAGTTTGGAACTCATTGTCATTTTCTCTCCTGCCTCCTCCCCAAGCCTCTACCTCTTTCTCCACAGTCTTACTGCCTCCACAGTCTTACTGCCATCCAATTCCTTTTACTGGACCCCTTTCCTTCAGTTCCCTTAAGATTCAAGGTGAGTTAGAGGTGTAGGCCCATCTTGGAAAACGCCCTCAGCTGAGTTCTGTTTGGTTAGGTCTTGTCTGGCCAGGCCATCAGCCTCTCACCCTTGTCCCATACTTTAGACACTGACCAATTTCTGAGCAGAACCTCCATTCCCTCCTCCCTTCTTCTATCACGGTGCCCTTCCCCTTGGCCTAGTCCAACCCTCTGCTGGCCAGCAGAAGACTGTGATGTGGAGAAAAATCAATTTGGCCAGCTTCTGGATGATTCTGCCTAGGGGCTGCAGCAGGATTCTGACCTAAGTGCAGAAAGGACAGACTCTCTGGGCTTTGCCCCCACCCTCACCCAGGGAAGGGGAGAAGCAGTAAAAAACAGGCTGGTTGTTGTGTTGGGACCCTGTCTAACAGTAACTGGGAAATACACAGGGGTGCCTAAGCTTGCCTAAAGCCAAATCCGTGTGAGGTTCTCTTAGAGCCCCACTGGCTGTACCCGCCCCCATCATCCCTCCTGCTCACCTTCACCCTAGTTCCTACCTAAGAGGAAAAAAAATTTTGTTCTGTTTTTAAATTCTGATAGTCCAGAATGGGAGTTTGTCTTCCCTCCAACGAGGGTCCTGATGTGTATGTTGGGAAGTGAGTAGAGTGCACTTTTGGATCTAGACTCCTCCCTGACCATGGGACCTGGCCGCTCCCCTCTGTCAGAGTTCCAGCAACTGCCCTTGAAGGATGAGAGTTGGGGAGTCTGGCTTCTGTGGGCAAGTGGGGTGGGCTGTAGGAGGGAGAATGAGCTCCCAAATCGGAGAATGGATTGTGATGGGGTAGGAATGCTCTGGAATAAAGGGAACGGAACCCCTATTGACCCTCTTTCCTTAGCAGGCACCTCTTGGTGATTCAAGTTCAGGACTCCCTCAGTCCCTCACCCCTTCCAGGAGGTGGAGTTGAGGGAGGGGCAAACAGGTCGTGGCTGTGGGGTAGGATGCGGTGAGTGAGTCGGGTGGAGAAGACTCCAGGGCGAGGGTACCTCCGAGCGTTAGAAGCCCGGGCAGGAAGCGCGGAGAGAGGGCAGTCTTCACCCTGTGTTGGTGGTCGTCTCGCCCGTCGCACCCTGCGAGGCAAGCCCCGCCCCCGCCCCACCGCCCCGCCCAGGCCCGCAGAGCGGCTGCAGCGCGAGGGCGGAGAGGCAGAGCGCCGAGCGAGGACCAGACGCCCAGGTCGACCGCATCTCCGTGCCGCAGCAGGCTGAAAGCGCGCCCCGGCCTTGCTCCCCCTGCCTTCGTGTGGGCCTCCCGGCTGCTTTCGGCCCCAGAGACCGAGCACCTGTCTTCCGCCCCAGCCTTAGCCGAGCGCCCCCTCCTCCGGAGCACACCACCCTTGCAGCCTGATAAGTGCCCCAGCCCTACGTCGGCGACCACCATGGCGGAGACCAACAACGAATGCAGCATCAAGGTGCTCTGCCGATTTCGGCCTCTGAACCAGGCCGAGATCCTGCGGGGGGACAAGTTCATCCCCATTTTCCAAGGAGATGACAGCGTCGTTATTGGGGTGAGTGCCGCTCCGGGAGGGAATTTGAGGAAGGGGAGGGAGGCGGAATCTTCTGGACCGCAGAGGCTCAATCTACGCCTGTCACTTTGAGTCCCCATTTTCCAACCTCTTCGCCGCAGTCCCTCCTCTCCGCTGCATCTGGATGGCTGGGTGTGGCTTTACCAGGCCTGCGGCCAAGTCTCTGCAGAGTGGGAGGGGGCTCCTTCCCTACCTTCTGGAGACTCAAATCCCCTTTGCTACTTTCTGCAGCGTCCCCACCCCTTAGAGCCAGTCCCTTTTTTTTCTGATGTTTTCTCTCTTCCCTAGATAAAGGGCATCTTCCCTTTGTTATTGGCTCAGATCCAACCCCCACCCAACTCCCAGGAAGGGAGGAAGAATATGGTGGATGGGCTAGATTGAAGTTGAGCTGTCCCAGGTCCGGTGAAGATCTAATGGGAGTGGGGCCTAGGACCAGGTTCTCCATCATCCCTAGAAGTGCTTACAGCCTGAACTGTGTGTGTGGATGGGAGCGGGAGTACCACAGATCTTATGAAGGAAGGGATTTCTGAGAAAGATATACATTAGTGCCACACCCAGTTATGGGGGGAGCCTATGGAATCCTAAGAACTTGTCTGCCTTTCCATCTCAGGAATAGAAAGACCAAGATTTCAGATCTCCCAACTGAGCCCCCCCCCCCAAGTAAAAATGCCCAAACCCCGAGGTCCTAAAATGTACTTGCTTATTCATCCTTACTCTTGGTGAGCCAATAAAAAGTAGCAATGGACTCTACCTCATTATGACAGCCTTACCCATGTAGGAGATCTTACTATACAAGAAAAATAATATTTATTGTGTACTTCTTAGTAGTGTTTACGCCTCAAAACAATACTCTGAATTAGTATTAATAGTTCCATTTTACAGATGAAGAGATTGAGGCCCAAAGAAGTTGAATGACTTTCCCAAGGTCATGGTGAGGATCCATAGATCTGTTCAGTCCATAGATCTGAACCCAACTCTCTATCTCCGGAGCTCACATCTTTTCTTTTCTTTCTTTCTTTCTTTTTTCTTTTTCTTTTTTTTTTTTTTTTGATACAGGGTCTTGCTGTGTAGTTCAGGCTGTCCTTGAGCTTTCTATGTAGTCCAGGCTGTCCTCAAACTCACAGCAATCCTTCTGCCTCAGCCTCCTGAGTACTGGGATCACAGGAGTGTGCCACCACACCCAGCACATCTTTTCCTTTATATCACATTGCCTACTCAGATTTTTGTTCTGGACCATTATTTGTGATGGTCCAAAGGGAAGTTCTAGGCCTTGCCCACTCCACCTTCTCTAGATTGTGTTTGGAGTGAAAGGACCTAGGGTTGAATCTTTTAGGGCTCCAGGGGTATTGGGCCAGGGATAGAGAAGGGAGGTACATATCTGAGAGCAGTCCTCAAAGTCAGGGACTTCTTTACATGTGTTTGATCCACTGTACAGCTGGAACCATGCTTGTTAAAGGAATGAAGGAAAGAAGGGAGGAAGCCTAGGTCTTCTGAGTCAGTAAGAATGGGTCGTTCATAAACATACCAGAGGGAGCACCTCAGCTCCTCCCCCAGCCCTCACCACCCTCACCCACACTGTGAACCCAAATGGGTACTTTTGCCATGCACAAGTGTTACGTGTGTTTGCCACAAGAAGAGGATCCTTGTTTCTTTTGCTTCAGGGACCTCAGTCCTTGAAAGGTGGCCTGGCCAGGCTGAAAGAAAGAACAGACCAACCCTGAAAGATCCCTGTGTAGCTTGGACAGCAGATTTTAAGTATGGGAGTTAGAGTTTAGGTCCCCTTGAGACAAAAGCTGAGAAATGGGAGGGGGGTGGTCCTGGGGAGCAAATTCACAAAAGGCTTTTAAGTCTGACTTCCTTGTTCCATTCCTTTTGTCTCTCAGGGCCAACCTGGTGTGTAGGATGAATGGGGGGCCCAATGTCCAGAGGAAGGGTTTTTGATCTATCCAGTTAGCTCAGTAAAACAGGAGAGACAGGGGAAGTTGGGAAGGAAGAGAAGCCTAGGACCCCCTACTAGTTCGGATTCTACTTGAGCTCTCTAGAGCAGGTATTTCCGTTTTTTTTTTTTTTTTTTAAGAGTAGGAAAAATTTATTTCGAGAAAGCTTCTGCCTAAGAGAGACAGAAGGGGGATCAGAAAGTGGGTTGCCCGCCCACCCCACTTTTCAAAGATGTTTTATACAGCAAAGCCATGTGGTGAGGTGGGTTACAGCAGGTATTTCCTTACCTGTTCTGCCTGATTGTTCATAGGGCTATATCTTTGTCTCACTCCTATCTTTCCAAGCCCTAGTCCTGTCAATCTCTCACTCAAGGTAAATGCTTGCAGGGGGCCATTTTGTCTTAAAGCTTACCTTTTCCAATTGATTTACTATTCATTCTTCTTCAGTGGAATGAGGGATATAAGGGACATGATTCTGAGATCTTCAAGAGTCCCAGCAGGGCTGGGGATTTAGATTTAGTTCAGTGGTGTCGCCGCCTGCTTCGCAAGCACAAGGACCCCAGTTCAATCCCCCCCCCCAAAAAAAACCAGTCCTGGCAAGGGAGGGACATCTCCTATTCCTTTTCCTCTTTTTTCCTATTGCTCTTGTTGGGTGCCAGTAGGTGGGGAATTGTCTGAGTGGAGGAAGCTGCTTCAGGATGTCTGGGAAGAGGAAAGGAGAAGGAGGGAGAGGATAATCTCTCAAAAGCCAGCTCCTGCTTCCTCCTGTGACAGCTTACCCCTCACCTCTCCAGCACTGCAGCTAGCTCTGGGCTTCAGAGGCCCTTATGTTTGGGCTGCTTGCAGTGTAGGAGAGTAAAGGGAGAGATAACCCACTGACTTCTCCCACAATTGGAGAGGGGGGCTGGTGGCCAAAGTTAAGGCCTGAGTCATAGAAGGATGTCTCTGCCTACTGTGTGTGATATACGTCTTGTTTTGCTCTTTGTACAGATAGAATCTAGTGTGACTTTTTCCAGTGTGAACCCGTTTATAAGTCTGTCTTCCTCTACCTTGGTCTTTCTTAGCAGTGGCCTATTGCTTGCTGTCTGTGCTGCTATATCTGTGCCAGGTGTGGGAGGAATGACAGTGAGGATACACACACACACTCAAACTCACACTCCCTCTCCCTCTTCTTCATTCAAATGTCCACAAGCTTTCTCCTCCACATTTCCTAAAAGTTAAGTGGGTCCTTTATTAAAGGGGCAAGAAACAAGACCATCAAGTACCTGGTTTGGATAAGCTAGATTGGGACCTCTAAAGTTATTAGATCAAAGTATGGTTTGGGGTGTTCTTGGATTCCTTTGATATCTTAGTGAATAGCAGGGCTCCCCATACCTTTGGGGGTTTCATAAAGGAAAATGAAGAGGGGAGATAATGTTCACTGTGGCCAATATCTTTCCAGTATTACTGTGGCAACAATCCCTGGGGGTGTCGCTATGGAAATTAGCCCTGGAGTTTGAAGTTCAGTCTCTATCCAGTGCTTCCTGCAGGCTGAACAGGTTGGTCATCTTTGGGACCCTGATCTTCTGCCCTCATTAGTGTCAGTTGGCACACATAATGGAAAACCATAGCATGATGCTGGAACCTTTCCTGCACAAATGGACTAGGAAAGGACAAGGAGGCTTGGAGTGGGTTAAAGAAGAACAAAGAACCCAGACTGTGGGACTCTCGGGAAAGACTCTCTGGAGAAGGCTACGAGAGGGCTGAGCCAGCTGGGCTTGGAGAGAGATCTGTCAGAAGCCTTCCTAAAAGGTGGAGACTCCTGGTGTACATCTGATGGAACAGGTCTTCAAGTCTCTGATGCTGTGCTAGCCTTGGAGGTCAAAAGGATGAAGGGGGCCAAAGGGATGGGCGGGAGCATTGCATACTTCTGAAAAAGGGATTGAGTTTTGAAAAAAGGAGAGATGGAAGTCTTTAATTCTGAATAGAAACACTTGGAGAACTACTCTGTGTGTGCGTGCGTGTGTGTGTGTGTGTGTGTGTGTGTGTTTGTATGGTGGGAGGTAAAGTGAAGGAGGAGAAAGAAGAGCCATGGTAAGGATCTTATGCAGGTTTATATTGCAGTTCATTGATAACTTTGGGTGTGGTCCTGGAATCATATTGCTTGGGTTTAAAGCTGTGCTCTACAATTTCAGCTGTGAAACTGTAGGCAAGCTAACTGACCTCTCTGAGGCTCAGTTTCATCATTGATAAATGGGAATAATAATAGTACCTACCTCCTAGGATTTTTTGTGAGCATTAAATGAGATAATGCATATAAACTGCTTAGCACAGTAACAAGTACAATCCCAGCTGCTCAGAAGGCTGAAGCAGGAGGATCACAAGTTCAAGGCCAGCCTGAGCAACTTAGTGAGACCTTGTCTCAAAAATAAAAAGACACAGGGCTGTGGATTTAGCTCAGTGGCACTGTGCCTGTTTGGCAAGTGCAAGATCCTGAGTTTGATAGCCAGTACCAGAAAAAAAAAAAAAAGACAGGATATGTAACTCACTGGTAGAGAGCTTGCCTAACATGTGGGAGGCCCTAGGTTCAATCCCCAGTACTGAAAAAAAAATTAGATGATCTTATTTTATATGATGTCTCCCCTCAAGTTAAACAGTCTTACTGATTGTTTCATCCAAGCCTTCAAGTCCCTTGTATCTTGTTCTCTTCTTCATCAATATCTATGTTTATTCAGAAGGGCGGGGATGCAGCTCAGTGGCATCTCATCTGTCTGGCAAGTGCAAGGTCCTGAGTTCGATCCCCAGTACTGGGGAAAAAAAAAATCTATGTTTATTCAACAAATATTTATGAAGAGTGTCCTGTGGGCCAGGGACTCTGGTGTTAGAGATTTTGAAGAAGTCCTTCTCTTCAAGAAATTCTGGATCTAGGAGATCCACAGTCCAGGCAGCAGCCTGGGCAGAGACAGGTGCCAAAAATGACCTGTGCTAGCTATGTGTATACTCCTCTACATTCCAAAGTTGTGTGTGGTGGAAGATGTAAGTTATGGTGGTATTTCCCATGTGAGT